CCGACCTAGCGAACTATGCCTTCTCAAGATCCTCCACCTTCTCGGCGACCTCGCCACTTAGAGCATCCGCTCTAAATTGACACTCCTTATACTAGGCACACAGCGAAACCACCTGAGCTTGAAGGTCATTGTACTGGGCTTTGAAGTCTTCCTTTTTACCTCTCAATGTCCCTTCAAGGACACTGCATTTCTCAATGACCCTCACCAGCTCGTCGTCTTTCTCCTTTAACTCTTCACGAAGGGCCTGCAAGTTGTTGCCCTCGCTAAAATGCTTGTGAATCTCCCGGTACTCAAAATATTTGCGCTCGAACTTCTCAAATATTTTCTTATGCCTCTCCTCCCTTCGAGAACTTTCAATCTCTAGGATCATGGTGTGCAATCCGGCTCCTCGAAAGAGTGACATCGCCCAGCTCTTTGAGGGTTTCACCTTCCACTTCGGAGCAAAGAGGGCCGAGGGCAGGGACTACATTCTCCGTATATTTCAACAAATCAGGATCCATGGGGATCACAATGGTACTCGTAGACCCCTCCAACCTCACCTCGAGTTAGGTAAACCCCTCATGCATCATCCTTAGTTCAGCGACGTCAACGTCTGAACCCGTTTCATAATTATCTTCGGTAACGCCTTTATCTCTCCCATCAACCGACAAGGGAATATCACCAGCTGGCTGCGAAGTCGACGACCCCTCATGCCGTAAAGAAATATAAGCCCTCGCAGCCGGCCCTTCGGCCTCCGTCATCGCAAAAGAGCGAGACACTATTTTTGTCAGCCTCCACCGATCTCGAAACCTCAGTCGCCAGCTCGACGTCATCTTCAAGGACAATGGTCGCATCTCACGAAGGACAAAATCATCCATCACAGAGTCTACGGTCTGGGAAACCTCATCGCCAACGTCCATTGACCTCCTCTTACGAGTCACCAAACCCCCGTCGCTTGGCAACGATTCCTCCTCTTCATCCAAAAGACAGTACAAAGGGGAAACCGAAGGTTCCACTGCCGAAGTATCCGTAGATAGAGAAGAAACTGATGTTGTAGCAGTGGCAGGTGGAGCCGAGGAGCGAGCAGGCTCAGTCGCGGTCGTAGAAGGGGTAGAAGCCGAAGAGGTAGTAATTTTCCTCTTACGGAATATAGGTAGAGGAGCTCTCGGCCTCTTTGAAGGCCTTCGGGCTGAAGTTGAGAGAAGCGCAAAAGAAAAGGTCAACCAGAGTAAACCACAAAAGGTGAGTAACCAAGAAGCCAAAGGAAAGAAACTCACCGGTCGAGGAAGGAGCAGGCCCAAACTTCTTTAGAAAGCCCGGCCACTCACGAATCCCCGCGATGTGAGGGAGGAGCCGGCCGACCCAATCAGAAATGTCCCTGACCAAAGGAGGGGGCGAAGTCTTGGCTGCATAAGAAAGGAGCAAGAGATCAGAACTCACGACTAAGCAAATTAAACCAAATGCCTCAACAAAGAAAGATTAGATGCTTACGAGTATAGTTCCAAGTTTTAGGGAAACTGGCTGCGTTGGCCACTACGTTCTTAGTTCTAACAAAGAAGAAGTTGTGCGAGAAATGGCGGCTAGCCTTGTCATCCATCTTCACCACTAGGCACTAACCCCCTCAATGGAGAAGGTTCAACATCGCCCCCTATAGAAACTAGGGGCGAATAAATACGTTAGATGCTGAAGAGTGATCTCGACCCCGGCCAGCTCCGAATTTAGTAAGCATCCTGATGAGCTTATAGATATACAGTGCGAGCTAAGTCGGGCAAACGCCATAGAAACGACAAAACTCCTCCGCCAGTGGGAGAAGGGGAAGAGTGTAGCCGACGTGAAAAGGGTAAGCGTGTGACGCATAGTACCCAGGGTGGTGGACTTGTACCACATCCCGCCCGGCAGGACCAACTCGATGCGAGCGGGAATGCCGAATTTAGCCCTAAGCTCTAATAAATCGGCCTCCTTCATCGCCGAATCGGAGATTTCGTGTACAACTTCAGGCGCGCGCCTTTGTAAATCAGACCTGACTTTCTCAATACGAGGAACTATCTCCTCCACCGTATGGAAGTTCTCGTCCTCAACGGCAGCAGAGATGCCCGCTGCGTGAGGAGGGAAAACCATCTCTAAAGGAACCAGGTAACTTTCCTCGCTGGGACTAGAAGATACGTTAGACATAGTTCTAACGAAAGAGAAGGTATTCAAAGTAACGAGAAGTTAAGAACAACAGGGACCGCTAGGGCAAGGAAAGAAGATACATAACAATGGCATAAGAAGAAGAAGGCACAAGGTTTCGATATGGAAAATCTGTAAAACTTGAGTGTGTGTCTTCACATCCCTATTTATAAGAGCTCAGGCAAAAAAACCGAGAAATTAGGTCATCATTACTTTGCACAACTATCGAAGCGACATATCCAACCAACAGACGCACGCGAAACAACGCAACGCATCGGGAAAATACTCCATAATGACGTATGACGTCATGATGTCACTTTGATCCAGGAACAACGTAACCCCAAAAGTTGCGGCTCATGAAAGGCCACGTTGCCCACTCGTTCAATCATCTCGACTACGACGAGCAAAATCTGCTCATCAAGCCCGCCTGAGGCCGGCCTCAATAAGCGGAGGGACTAACTATATAGGTCGAAATCTGCCCTAGAATATTTAAGACAAGGTAACGCTAAAGGAAGAGTCTTCAAGCCGTCACCAGTCGAGGTCGACCAGGAAGCAGCGAGATTCGTGGCCGAGATTTCAACAAGGGTCGAGGTCGAGCACCGTTGGCAAAGCTGTAACAGCTAATTTTCGAAATAGGATATTAAAGAAAATATTCTAGTGAATATTCTGTGCATTTGTACTATTAGGGTTTGTTAAGAAAATGTCTCATATAAATAGAAAATGAGACAATGGTGGAAGGCATGTGACATTCATTATTTGATAATAACAGATTTTTGATTGAAGATTCTTTCTCTCTTTTACACAGATACAAACACTACCTTTTCATCTAGATTCTTGTTCGTATTATCCTACAACCTTCCATCAGATCCGAGAATAATTCAAACATTCTGGATTTGTCTGTCACTCATCATTGTCAAGAGGGATAATCAACTAGTTCATACTTTATTGGGTGAATCACTCCTTCTATTTATTTAAATGTCATTTATTATTATTTATTACTAGTTATTGCTATATTATTGCTCATACTTTTTGGAATAGTTAATGCATATAGTTGTCAATCCTCCACAGATCTAACCAATATTGGTCACCTTTTCGAAGATAACATCTAGATATATTATTATTAACTAAGTTTAACTTATTATTATATAAATTAAATTATTTAAAACCGAAAGTTATACTTTTTGGTCAAACACAATTCTTAACGAAAATAAATTATGTTTAGAGCTAGAATACTACGTTTAATTGAAAGTTCTGAAAATTGAAATTGCGTAGGAAGATCTTACGATTTCAGGAGCAAAATCGACAGGTTGATAAGCATTGCTTCTTTCAACAAACCTACGCCAGGTGTCCCATCTATTATTGTCATGATTTGGATACTTATCTGCGTAAGAATGGTCTCCCACAAATTAAACAGTTTGTCCTTCGGTTGGGTTCATTTCATAGTGAGTTAACGTCATGTTTGCGTCGTATGTCTGTCCAAGATCCCCTGCATACATTGCCGACTTATATTGTATACACTAACAGTTTAATTTTTCTTACGTGCAATTTAACTAAATAAAGCGAAAAAATATAGTAATGATTACCTATGAGACCAAATATATAGGATACATCGGCGCCTACTGGTGGTGGAGTAACAAACCAGAATGTTCGTCTCGAATGCCCAGTTCCAACCATGTATTAGTATTTGTTAGTCTCGCCAATATTACTGTATTTGTAAATAATAATTCTGCAAAGTATAAGTTATCGTAATGAAACAGTAATTAATTCGAGCCCACTGAATTCACAGTATTTCCTTAAGGAATTTAATCCCCCTCCTAGTACCCAAGGTAATGGATTATTTCCTCCCAGGATAGAACGAATCACACACTGGTGTAGCGGTACTTCAAACCCCAGTGTTTCAGCGAACACAAAGTTCGGTAGCAAATCACACTTACAGTTGCTTTGTTTGAAGTTAAAACAATGCAGAACGAAGGAGTAGAAACTCAGAAAATCGTATGAAAATGCTGAGAGGAAGGAGTGCAATGTATAGCCAAATCTGTTGAGCGATTTCAGTTTGTGTCTTGTGTGTTGTGTGTCTTTCTTCAACAGCTGCTGCACATATATATAGCAGCCAGTGTTGAAGAAGAACAATCGTCCACCCTCCATGGTGGAGCAAGCATTAGCTTGTTTGTGGAGCAAACACAATCATGGTGGGAAGAGCATTAGGCAGCTGCTTTGTGGTCAATACACGGATTGGAAAATATCCGTTACAAATGCGGATAATCTTACGTTAATATTTACTATTAACAAATAAATTTGGTCCAAAAAATTAATCAATCAATCATTTGACCAAAAATTTGACCAAATCCGGAGCTGGAGCCGAGCGAGCGACGACGACGGCGCGAGACTTGCTTTCTTCTTAACTCTTTAAGAGCTACAAGAAGAGCAATTATATATATACCCACCAAAAATCTTTTCCTCTTCCAATATGGGACAATGTCTCATTGTCAAGAGGGGGAAACTTAAAATTTTACTCAAAAATTTCATTTTCCCTCCATTTCCCATTCACCCTCATTTTAAGAATATTTCATCTTAAAAACAAAAACCTCAACAGTATTTAGAGTCGCTTCATAGTTATTCTTTTAGTGTCATGAGTATTCTTTCGTTATTATATACTTATGTTGAGTATGATACTTTCTTATCAAAGTTAGGGATAAATTAGTATTTCTAGCTTTTAGTGGGTGGACTATTAATGATAGAGATTTGTTTTGGTTAATTGATAAAGTTATTTTTGTTTGAATTGATATTAGGATGTTTGGTTGTTAATTTGATACAAGAAAGTTTTTGGATAGTCCAAAAACAGAGAAAGCCGATAAAGTTTACTGACATTAAGCGATTTTATCTCATAGAAAAGTAACCACACAGATAACAATATGTTTGACATCATCCATCTCCACTAACAATAGACACATATATTCCAGAAACCGCTAAAGAGGCTGGAATGTTACAAGGATGACATCCAATTTATTTATGTCTAAACACATAGAAGAAAGAAGGACATTTAAACCAATGATCGTTTAATAAGATTCATCAATTGGGTGCCAATAACGATTGAAAAACAAGAAGCTATCAGCTTTTGCAGAAAAACCATCCTGATTACGATGCCAACTGTAATAGGCGTGAGTTCGATTCTTAATCTCCAATATGGCATGTCCAAAACTTGATTCGCGATAGGCTGAGTACTTAGGCTGTGGCTCCGTCAATCTGAAAAGTGAAAATTATAACACCCACCATTAACTTTTCAGTTGGTGTATTAACATTTGTTGTAGATTTAATTAATAATCTGAGCAAAAGAAAAATTATAAATTGCACTTGAAAAAATATTACACTTACTTAGTATGGGTTAACTCATATTCAAGTCACCCATTTGACACCTAAACCGTTTTTGACCCGCATGAAATATGGGCGGGTTGAGACCCAACCCAATTTTACTCAACTCATCCACCCAAATCCAACCCAACCCGCCCATTTACCACCACTAGGTCATATACTGATTATACACAATTATTGAAGCAGTCACATATACGGGTCCAAAAGTCATGTTACTGACCTACAAGTTAAAGACTCATGCGGTGATGTTTATGGTTTTGAAGTTTGAACTCTGACCATTGAAGGGTTCTACAACTATGTTCTACTACATAAGTTGCAAAACTAGGAGGTACAAAAGCTACATTGCTGAGTCCGTGCTTGGTATGGACATTCCTCCTAGTACTAGTGAACTGGAAAAATTATCATTCTCTTTTGGAGCATGAAACAATCTAGGTAGCATTGTTTTGACATTCAAACAATCTATAAACATTGCTGCAGGGGAGTCTCCTTCGGGCCATCGACTTTTCTTCTTGCGGTCTAAAATCAGGAAAGCATTTGAACAAACTGGGAAAATGGGATTTGGGGAACAAAGGATACATATAGTTTGGAATCTCTTATGTAACAGGTGGTATACAATTATAATAAATTGGAAGAGATATGGTTTCTTCAAATCTCAGAAAGGAGTAAAACAGGGAGACCCTATATCCCCTTCTTTATTTATATTAGAAGCAGAAGTACTTTCTAGAAATTTAAATTCTTTATTTGATAATCCAAGGTCCAAAAGTTTCACTATGAATACTAATGGACCTAGAATTAATCATTTATCTTATGCTGATGATATTATTATTTTCTCTTCAGGAAAGACTGTATCTTTGAATCTGGTGATGGAGCAACTGGAAGAATACGAAAAGGCATCTGGTCAACTAATCAATAAGAACAAAAGTTGTTTTATGGTAGGAGACAACATATCTTATAGAAGGATATCCATAGTAGAAAACTGCTTGAACATTCAATCGTAAAGAGTTTCCTATTACTTATTTGGGATGTCCAATTTATGCGGGAAGGAAAAGGGTCCATTATTTTACTGATATCACCACTAAAATTGTTCGGAAGGTGGGAACTTGGCATAGTCACTTACTATCCGCTGGAGGGAAGATGATCCTGATTAAACATGTGTTATCAGCTATGCCAGTGCATCTTTTATCAATCTGCCAACCTCCAAAGACAATAATAAAACATATCGAAAGAGTGTTTGCCAATTTTTTCTGGGGAAGCAGTGAAGGAAAGCAAAAATACTATTGGTCATCCTGGAGTACATTATGCTATCCAACAAGTGAAGGAGGAGTTGGATTCAGGTCTTTACAAGACATTGCTGATACTTTTGCTGCTAAGCTTTGGTGGCAATTTAGATTGAGAGATTCACTATGGGTTGAATTCATGAAAGCCAAATACTCCATGAGGATACACCATATACCTAGGAAATGGTCTTAACTACATTCACACATCTGGAGAAGATTAATGGAGATAAATAAGAGGGTAGATCATTTGATTTTGTGGCAAATAAATGAAGGAAATACAAGTTTCTGGTGGGATAACTGGACAGACTTGGGACAACTTGCACAGTTTGGAGAGGTGTCTACATCAAATAAAATTCATGTCTCTTCATTCATGACCAACAGAGAATGGAATATGGCCAAGCTAGCTCAAATACTACCTGCTGGGATTGTACAACATATCCAGGGAGTTAAAATTAATTCTCTAGTGCTACATGATTATCCAATATGGACTTTATCAGAAGATGAAAAATTCAATTGTAGCTCTGCTTGGAATCATCTAAGAAGCAGAAAGAATACTACTTTGGTTAATAATTTGATGTGGCATAACAAGATCCCTTCAAAATTTCTTTTTTCCTATGGTAATTATTCAAACACAAGATCCATGTGGATGATAATATGAAGAGATTTGGACTCCAATTCCCATCCAAATATTCATGCAGTATCAACTCATGTATCGAAGATGAAGAGCATATTTTTACGGGGAGTGATATGTGCAGACCTATTTGGCATCATTTTAATCAAACTTTTGTGGTCTAGATGAGTCAAACCACAACTACTATTAGACAACATGTCCTTAAATGGTGTTTATGAAAACCTCAAAACCATTACTGAAATTGATCCACCAGTCTTTTCCTGAAATCATTATAAGGCAGATTTGGAAAACTAGATGCAAATGCAGATTTGAGAATGAGAGAATTTTCACTGGAAGAATTATTTGGAAGATACAACAACAAATTGGTATGATTGTTCATTATAAACGAATTCCTAAAGTGAGTCCTTATAATCTAATTGGGCGAACTTTTGTGATATTATGAATAATGCTAAGTTCTTTATCTCCTCTATCTATGTTAAATGGAATCCCCCAAATCTGGGATTTGTCAAGATCAATTTTGTTGGCTGCTCTAAAGGCAACTCATGCCTTAGTGCAGGGGGAGGGATTATTCGAAATCATAATGGTGAACTATTAGCTGCTTATGCAATCCCTTTTGGTATTATCACAAATAATATGGCAGAATCATTGGCTCTAAAGGCTGGATTAGATTGGTGTGTGGAGAAAGGATACAAGAAGATCATTGTGGAGATTGACTCTTTGTTATTTGTTAACTGGATGCTTGGAAAAGCTAAAATTCCATGGAAGTTAACTGATATAATTCTGGATTTGAGAAACAAACTTGAACTTATGGAAGATAGGATAATAGCACATTGCTATAGAGAAGGAAACAAAGTTGCTGATATCCTATCCAATTATGGCTTGAAAGTTAGACATATGACATGGTTTCACAATTTGCAACAACTATCAAAGGAGGCTAGAGGAGAATACAAAATGGACATATTACAATTCCCTTCATTTAGAATGAAACAATCCAAGAATACCATTTCTCTAGAGAGGAGCCCGGGCAGAAGATATCAATTTAATATTCCTTGATATGTTTGTAATTATGCAATATAGAAGAGGGATTAGTAGCTCTCTCAATTCACTATTTTGTAAGCTATAACGGATATATGTATCCATCATTTTGTAAAGGTTTGAGGATGTTTAACCTACATAGTAACAGAGGTAAGGTGAAGTCCCCCTCCAATGTATTTATATATTTATGTATATATGTTTGTCCAGGCTCATGAAGGAGCTGGATAGCTTTAACCAAGAAAAAAAAAAAGAAAACGAACAAACTCTAGCATTATCATCGTTATAACTTCAGATTGTCTTGTTGAACAGGGGAATATATATAAACATCTCCTGTTCTTTTTGAAGGATATTCTTATCCTTGTGTTGTAATCTTTGGAGGTAAGGACCATCCTCCTCCATCGTTTCAAGACTAATACAAACATCCCCAGTTTAAGTGGGAAATTAATTTTAAAAAAAATATAGCAATAGAAGGAAAGGAAAAAAGACAAGATAAAAGCTAGACAGTAAATATCCTTTCTATTCTTCTATTTTTGTCTTATTTTTTGCAAATAAAAAGCTTTAATTCAGGAGGCCTACTCATCTGTTCGATCAAATTGTGGTATAAATAGAGTTCCTCAAAACTCCAAAAACTCATATCATTGGGCACTAAAGAGAACCTATAATTATGGGCTAGACTTCCAATGGTTCAAGTATTCTCACTACTAAAAATTACTTGTTTACCGACGCAAATTACCGACGGACGTCCCTCGATAACAAGGCTGTACCGAAGGAAGTCCGTCGGTAAGTGGTAGGTAGATAAATCCTTCCTCGGTAAAATAAACCGACAGAATCCGTCGGTAATTACCGATGGAAAGCCATCGGTCCGTAGTTGGTCAAATAAGCAATAAAAATCAGCAGCAAATGCCAACAGAATTTGAAAACAGACACTCTCTTCGTTAAGAGGCAGTATGCGTATTGTCAAACTATTCAAGCAGTTGTCTCTATTTTTATTTTTGTTTTTGGCTTTGTAAATTCGAAGGAGTTCTTTATATTTTCCTCGTGATATTAAACCAAGGTCTATAAACTGTCTTATCATACATACTGCCTCTCAAAGATGAAATATTTCCAAATACTTATGGTGCTCTCCGCGAAGACGGCTACTACTTCTGAAAATTTCACACATAAAGAAGTTTGAGTTCATTATGGAAGCAATATTATCTGCTTATTACATTTAGAAATATATACCCAGGAAGCTCCCGTAAAAGAAATAGATAAGCTCCTAGAGCCTGCCGTAATATTCCAAAAACTTGTAAAGGTCAACTACTCTACAATACGACATTTCTTACCAATGAATACATTGGGAACCGTATGTCTCAGTGGCTATTGTAGCAAACAAAAGAGAGGTGACAAATAACACTGGGCAATTTCTATACCTTGCTAAAAACAAGCACGAAAATTGCATCTACAGGATTGAACAACAAAAAGAACAAACTTGAGGATGAAATAATAAAATAAAGCCCATCAAGGTCTAAGATTCATCTTCACCAGACCCTTCTCTTTCCTTTCCTCTTATCCTAAATCTCCCTTCCCCTTCGCATTACTATGAGAATTTGTGAACTCAAACTACTCCCAAAAACGACCTCAATGGCCGACGATGGAAGAAAACTTACCGGAGATGGAGAGGAGTCTGGGTGCCGACGATGGCCGCTTATTGCCGCTTATTGCCGCCGCCGCCGCCGACGATGGCCGCTTGGATTGAGTGCTAACGACGCCGGTGAAACGGGGATTTGCCCTAGAAGCAGTGAGGCGGAGTGTTTAATTTGGTCAATGTATATTCTTACTAGATGAGGTGACGAAATGTCTTTGTTCATGTAAACTAAATCAAATTTAAATCTCCGGCAATTTTAAGAGAAAATGACAAGAATCAAATAGCTTTTTTATAATAACGTTAAACTTATGGTCATATTGAAAAATGGATAGCAACAGACACGAAGCATAAGGAAACATAACTAATACTATAACCCAATGATAGCCAATTCAATGTAAGGATGAAAACCACCTAAATCGAGTCTCTAAAATCCAGGTTACCAACAAATAGGAAAATCCAGGTTACCAACAAATAGGATACGTCAATTGATTTTGCGGATTATTTTCCTAGTATTTTTCTCTTTTGTTTTCCTAGCATTTTCCTCCTTTTCTTCTTCAGAAGACAACCTTATTGTTGTTTTGACAAATATACAATGGCATGCACATCTATTGCTCTTTAATGTGTATTTTTTTTCCATCTTCGACTGTCCAACATACAACATTCAAAAAGAAGAAGCTAGTATAAAAAGATTCAGCTATGAGATATTTTAACTCATGGAAACACTTTGATTTTATTCATATAACACAGGTGCAAAATCCCACAAGGGAACACTCACCAGTAGAAGAAAAGTTGAGAGATTTAACTTTCAAAACAAGCGTTGAGAGTAGAAGAAAGAATCAGTTCCATGATAATTGACACTCTTGAAAAATAAAATAACCTATTGAAATAATTCACAGAGACTTTCTTTATTGATAGAATTCAATTCCATATTACTCTAACAAATAGTCACTTAAGTAGGTAGCAATATGGGTGAGTAGATATAAAAGCTCTAATGCTACTTAGGAGTGTCACTTGCATAAGAAACTTTAGATATATTTCCTCGTTTTCCTACGAGAAGTAAAAACTTAAAATGGACCAAAATGAGGATTTAAAATGTCTTAGTAATCTTTCAACGCATTAGCGCGCTCAAAGGTAAGACATGAGAGGGAAAAAGGCATAAATCAGCAATACGACTCACATATACATTAAGATGACCCGATAACTCAAAATAACAGCATACTCCTGCTACTTTTTACAACAACACTAAACTACAATACACTTTATCAATTTCTAAAGTAGTTCTCAACAACATAGAGTTGCACCGCATCTTTATTAACTTCTAGTGCAATTAGAATTAATCAATCAATAGAGAATTTAAATCTTCCATTCTGAAAACTGATAATCAAAGTCAGTTAAAAATCATACATGCAACTTTGGTTCATATATAACTGCATTTGTAAGAAAAAATATGCCAACTCATACAAACTAAATCTCATTGAATTCATTTTTTCTCAAGCACATTTTTATTGCGTTTGCAGCTATGGAATATCATAGAATGGAATAAAGTACCAACTGCCTTCAATCTTAATAAGAAGGCTATTAAATTCATCTTTCTCAAATTCTTGTTTCCTCGGCTCCTACACAACTGTCTAGTGCAGCTTCACTTAATTTACTTATTGTTCATGGATCCTCTGTTCTTTCTTTCTTACTCTCTTTGCTTGTTTAGTTGTTGATACAAATTCAACAGTGATTATACAGGTCGTCCACAAACTCTATTTGACACGATTCAGTTAGTTGTATTACTCAATTATTTAATAGAATATTTTATACTCATTAACAGCAAAAACTATTTCTTTCTTATTATAATGAATTATCTTGTGGTCCAACCCTTCACCGGACTCCGCATATAGAGGGAGCTTAATGCACCGGGCTGTCTTTTTTTACAATGAATTATCTATATTAATCTTTTGTGAATAAGTCATCAACAAATATTAATTAGAAAGAAAAGAAATTACTGATTGCGCAGATTGAGCCATGCCAATTCCGAGAATAAGGAAAAAGCAGCACTATATTAGCTCATAATCTTATGAAACTTCAACCCATCCCTCAAATAAAATTCTTTGTCAACATCTTAGTACTATCTTCAGTTGTTGCAAAAACAAGCGCCACGTTATGTAAAGGAAAAAAAAAGGAATAAAAAGCTTAAACTGAGAAATAAAGAAAACAATTAGAGACTTTTTGTCCCTCTACGATATATTCAGATTTCTATCTTAAAAATCAATTTTGTTCAACTAATAGAAAAAAGTAGTTGAGAAAACTAACCTTGAAAATTTTGTCACAACCGAAAATGTTTAACAAATAAATGATCTAACCATTTACCAGACTCGATCTTAATGGATGAGATTTCTTCATATTAAACAAAAGAAGAAGCGGCTCCGATACATCTGCGGTTTCGATACATCCGCAAGCTCCGGCGTATACTCAATCTCTATTGAAGGGGTAGAACGATGGTAGAGCAGTAGGTGGCTTTGGGTTGCCTTTGAATTTACACATAAGACATTTCTTTAGGAAGCACAATAAGCAACATCAAGGGCAAATAAGTGATTCAGACAAGCAATAATGGGAGAAGATTAAAGTAAAAATTAAGTGAAAAGGTTACCGGAAATAGAAAGACCCATCTAGAAGATAAATGTAACTCATAGAGGAGTAGTAGTTCAAAGTATGGAGATGAAAATAGGTTTATGAAAGCAGATGAGGGTTCTAGAATTATGACAGAGTGCTTTGGCAGCACTTATACGTCTAGATAGAAAATTAAATTAAATGACAGAGTAAAATAACAATTTTGCCCTTGGTACCATTCTAACCTCTTCTATATAATAGAAAAGTTTACATTTTTGAAAAATCGTATGCATCTACAGTTGCACAAGACATGGCACTAGCTACAATTAGTAGATTCAGGGAAACATATAATTAACAACGATACACCAAATCAAAGTAAGTTCATTGCAAAATCCTAATCGATTTGTCCATTAGGGTATCCAATGTAAATTCACGTAAAAAAACATTAGTCCAAACAACTAAAACAAATGGATCCAAAAATAAGTCTTTTACTAATAAAATCGGAAAAGGGCCATACCAATGGTTTACTTCAAGGCTCCGCCCAACTTTTAATCCGAAAATACACTCGACGTTATCTTTCGGACTAAAAATACCCCCGCGACTAACGGAGATTTCTGTGATCCCTATTTTAATGTGTTGGCAGCACGTGATTGGGCTACGTGGCTCCCTTGTCCAGATCAAATATAACCCGTTCCATATTTAAGCCCGCCCCAGTTTATTGGATCAATCCACTAAAGTTTTTCAACCTTAACCCAAGATCTTATCCCTTTCTCCTCCATTTCCATCACTTTTTCTAAATAACAAAAAATCAATGGCTAAAATTTTTCAAGCGGAGCTCCAAATTCTTGTTCCAACCAAACTCCATATCAAGGTTCAACAATTAATTCCCAGCAACACCCAATCAATTTTGAGAACGAATTTCAGATTTGGAAGTCTTTTCAAGCGAAGTTGCAAGGGGTTCTTCAATAGTGGACTGTTTTTCTCCGAGTGTTTCACTCAACAAGACAATGGGTATTCACAAATAGTCTCCAAATCAATAGCAAACCAGGAGAATTTCAACGAATACCTTTTCGAAAACCCACTTGGAGTAAAATTTTATTTTGATCTGAAAATTCGTTACTTGTTATTGGAATCAGTTGGTTAATGTACTTTGAGCCTAAATACATCTATGCAAACTGATTTGAGAATGAGAACCTCGAAGAAGGAGCTGTAATTGCATTAAAACCCTTTTAAAACCATGGTTCGAAATACGGATTTTTTGAAATTGTAACTGATCTCGTCCAAATCACAACTCTTGGGGTTGTGAAGCGGTCGATTGCAATAATAATTACCCAATTGGGAGTCGGGATCGAATCCACAGGGAGCGTAGATAGGATTGGTATATATTCGGATTAAGCGCGTAAAGTGTCTAAGATGCACTTCCACAAGCTCTGTTTTGTTTCTACTTCTAAATTATGCTACGGTTTGCAAATGTAAAGTTAGAGAATAATATTTTTGGTGTTGTTTTTCAAGTATGTAAAAGATCTAGGGTTTTGATTTCTACCTAGGTGTTTGCCTAACGGGTTGTGGGCTTTAGAGCGGATTTTGTTGGTCGGGTTGTATTATAGCAATCAACACACAATTACTCACTCAATACCTATCGGTAATATAGTGGTTTTGCCCAATTTGACTCTCTCTCAAGTCCAAATGGTGATGCACAAAACAATTGATAGATGCTCAAGTCGGGTTTTACTATCTCTAGATTCAACCTTTTAATTGGGATTATCAATTTCTTGAGTTCATCCCAATTTCTTATTAGCCAAGTTTTCCTAAACTAAGTTTCTTTTTCTCAAGTAGAGATTAAGTCAAATAGGCTTGAATCAATATTTGCAACCATTAATTCTACAATTATAGCAAGAACTAGGCTAAATATTACACACCCAACCATAAACAAGCCCTAAATCAAATACCCATTAGGTACCCACACTAGGGTTGGGTCACAACCCTATCTAGAAATTTAGCTACTCATAGTGGGTGATGAAGAAAATAAAGAAAAAAGGATGATTAAACTCATATTTAATGATAAATAGATGAAAATCCAATGTAAAATTGACAAGCTATAATAAAGTTTCCCAAAACAGTAAAGAAAAACGGCTACTAACTTTCAGATATTCAAAACTTGACCTAATTTCGTCAAAAAAGACTATTTATACACAGCTGAAATTTTCGGATAAAATTGCCCTTTTGGAGGTTCTGCGGCCACACAATTCTGTGTGTGGTCCGTACTTTGCTGCAACTCTTGACAGAAATAGTTTTTGCGGCTGCACAATTCTGAACTACGGCCGCACTTCGTGAGTTCTGCGGATCGCACAATTCCGGGTGCGGATCGCACAATTCCGGGTGCGGCCGCACATTTGATTTCTGCGGCCGCACAATTATAGTGCGGTTCGCAGATCTTGATTGTCTTGAATTCCCAACTATCTGAACCTTGACTTCTGCGGTCGCATAATTATTGTGCGGTCCGCACTTTGCATTGCAGCACTGTTAAATTTTCTTCTTGTTCTGCGGCCGCAGACAGAATTCTGCGGTCCGCACTTTAGCCTTTTTGCTTGATTTTTGTCCTTGTTCAAATCACTCCTTCTTGAGTTTAATTTCATCACTTTTGCTCATTTTTCAATACTCCTGCGAGTAAGCATATTTCATCAATTTTCGGGAATACCTTTAAGCATTTTTGATCTAAAACGAAAGACAAAAGGCGCAAATAAGTAGTCAAAATTCCCTTGTCCTCAAGCAAATAAGGTAATTTTCACCTCCACAAGAAAAGAGCTATTCTAGCTAAGCTAAGTTGAATCAAACACACATGAATTGGGACCAACAATTACCCACACACTCATGAATCATCAACAGGGCAATGTTTTGAAGGTTAAAGCACAAATAGCTCTAATGTGACACTTGAGCATCAAGAGTTGACTTTACTCATCAAGAGTTGACTTTACTCATCAAGGAAGTTCGCATTTTCATGTAGGTCACTGTGGATCCCAAACTCCTCCTCCTATACTCTCCATTAGCTCATCTCACTTAAGAATGTAGCACTCAATTCAATGATTTGTGAAAAGTTCGCTCATCACTCTCAAAAGAATGTCACAAGTACGACTCTAAGTACCATATGCTTGCCCCTCATGTAAATCACCACTAATGTAAACTTACTCGGCTTGAAATCACGTAGGGATTTTTCGGCATGTAATGAAGGTTTTTGGACCAAGGTAGGAAATTTTGGAATAGAACAAGTTCATCTTTCCTTAAGCACTCCATTTTCTCTTTTTGGCTCATGTTTTGCCGACTCTTTGAGTCATTTTCTTTTTCCTTAGGGGAACTAGAAAGACTTGATTGACATCACTCTTTCTTGGTCATGATATTCATTTTCTTCTTCTTTGTTTTCTCCATGCTTTGCACTTTTGCTTTTCTTTGAATCCCTTCAACTCTTCAATTTATTCACTTTCTTTTTGTGTTTTTCTTTTGTTCTTTCTTTTTCTTCATTTCTTTTCTCTTTTTTTTGTACCTTTATACCACTTTCAAAATTCTCGTTTCTCCCCCAAACTTATGTTTTCGCTAATTTGCTTCTCATGAGTATTAAGGAATGCTCGGTTTACTACAAAACGGGTAAAGGCTTATAACATGGTTATCAAATGAGAAAGGCTTTAGACTCAAAAGGGTTGACTAGGGATAACATCATTGGTGGGCCATGAAAAATTTCAAAATGGGTCAAGGAGAGCCTACAATCACTTCTCAAGCCAAGCAAAACTTAGAATTTCGCCTAGAAACACATTCGGGGTAAGTTCTAGACTATTCGTATGGGTACTTGGACATGTAACAAAACATCTCACCTCTCACACAACTGGATTGTTAAAGAGAATAGAGGCGAGGGCCCACAACAACCGTATTCAAGATTGAAAATTGCTAATGGTTCAACTAAACCACTCGATGATTGCCTAAGTCAACACAAGAGTCACAAGGTCACTAACTAGAGCCGTTTCTTTCCAAGAACTTATTTTTAACCATAAGAGTGTAGTTAAGTGTGTTAGTACCAAGTGAAGCATGCTTGACCATTTTATTCATTATTACTATTATTTTTACCTAATCATCAAAAACAGACTCAATCCCTTAAGAAGGTTGTTACGCCATCCATCGTTGGGAAGAGCCACCCGGTTCACACAAAAACCACCTTTGGAAAGAACCGTGGCATTAAGAAAACCAAAGGCTTATTGATCACTTAAACATAAAAAGAAGCTACCAAATCAACAAGAAGTTATTAAAGTAAATAAGAAGCTATGAAGTAACTACTGAAAGCAAAAATGAATATACAAGCAGAGAATGGGAAAGAGAATATATACATCAATAGAGAGAGAGGAATATATACATAATGAAAAAGAAATTAAAGATAAAAAGAGAGTATTATAGTTATTACAAGCCAATGTCATATCAAATCAAAATGGACCACCCCCCTGAATAAGAGTAAGCATTGTCCTCAATGCTTAACAAAAATTAAAATAAGGGAGGGAAGAGAGTAAAAAGAACTCCCTATGTGGTCTCAGTGTGCATGGCAGCATCACCACCCTCAGGCTCCTCCAACTGGATCTCATCATCCTCTGCTCGGGGAGTAACGAGTTTGGTAAACATCTGAAGCACCTCCTCAGCAGTATGGACAGCAAGGTCTGGCTCGTCAGACTGGCCAGCTGGTGCCACTTGTGCTGATGGTGTTGTTGGGTCTGCTGGTACTGATGGATCTGTCTCCATCAGTAAGTCAAATGGAAGATCACCAGCTGCTGCTATATTGGTCACCTCTTTTCTCAACCTGTCCACTGATTTTCTTAAGGCCTGTGATTTCCTCATCTTCTTCACCTGTTTACCCAACTCCTCAATAGCTCCCCCATATGCCACCAATGTATCCATGAAGGTCTTCTGATTGTCCAAGATCTTCTTCAATGTTTCCTCCACTGAAGGAGGTACCTGTGGTGCTGCTGGGGTAGAAGACTGAGTTGCAACAGTACTAGATATGTCAGACAGCTTTGCAGTAGCTATCTGCATCCAGTTGTTGAGAATAGCCAATGTTTGGGAGACTCACAGTGCAGTGAGTGGATATGTGGAGTAGGAAGGCACTGATACTGATGCTGAT